AACTTTTCATAGCCAATTCAAATTCGAATTCAAACATTTAAATTCAAACGTTCAAACATTTAAATTCTAAATTCAAATTCAAATTTCAAATTCAAATTCAAATTTCAAATTCAAAATTCAAAATTCAAAATTCAAATTCAAATTTCAAATTTCAAATTTCAAATTTCAAATTTCAAATTCAAAATTCAAAATTCGAATTTCAAAATTCAAATTCAAATTTAGAATTTTGTAATGTCCTACATCGGTTGGAGAGGGGAACGAAGCATGCCTTATAAGGGTGTGGATACCTCTTCTAGTGTGAGGCCTTTTGTGGGGAGTCCCAAGAAACAAAACCATGAGCCCGAGGGCAAAGCGGACAATATCATGCTACAGGGTTTGGGGCTGTTACATTTGGTATCAGAGCCTGGCCCTGGACCGGTGTGTACAGCGGGGACGCTGTATTCCCAGTGGGGGAGGATGTAATGTCCCACATCGGTTGGAGAGGGGAGCGAAGCATGCCTTATAAGGGTGTGGATACCTCTTCTAGTGTGAGGCCTTTTGTGGGGTGTCCCAAGAAACAAAACCGTGAACCCGAGGGCAAAGCGGACAATATCTTGCTACAGGGTTTGGGGCTGTTACATTTGGTATCAGAGCTTGGCCCTGGACCGGTGTGTACAGCGGGGACGCTGTATTTCCAGTGGGGGAGGATGTAATGTCCCACATCGGTTGGAGAGGGGAACGAAGCATGCCTTATAAGGGTGTGGATACCTCTTCTAGTGTGAGGCCTTTTGTGGGGTGTCCCAAGAAACAAAACCGTGAGCCCGAGGGCAAAGCGGACAATATCATGCTACAGGGTTTGGGGCTACTACAGTAAGTAGAAAAATAATGCCTTCCCCGAGAACAACACCGAGAGTTTTTCATGATTTGCAAGCCCCGAATATAAACAAGTGATGCAGTGTTTTATTATAAGCAGATCAATCTATGCTGAAGTCTAGGCATCAAAGAATAAAAGCAATTACATCCAACGGATACATCATTTTTCTGTCTTCTAATCCAACTAGATTGCTATAGTAGAACTGCAGACTAATGAAGAGGAACGCTCACCTATGATACGAATAAATCTTTGGTGCTACTGTTGCACCAAAGATTCAGTACATCCCACTAATAAAATTATTACATATCAGCTAAAGTTTTTTTTCTCTGTCAAATTTTTTCTCTCTCCTATGATGTGTAATACTTTCATTGATGGGATGCACTGAATCTTGGTGCAGCAGTAGCACCAAAGATTTATTCCTATGATACATATATAGTGACCAAAAAAAAAAAAAAAAACTGGACTACTCTTACATAATTCACATATTGACCCGAGAAACTCAACAAGAGTCACATAGCCGCCCGTTGTCTGCTAGCATAACTAATTCTAGACTTAGATGGCAAACAAAGATGTTTACTGAAAATACCATTAAATTCTCCATGTTATCATCATTTAATCTTTTATGACGAATATCATAAACTAATTTTCATCTTCAATAATTCTTGTCACAAGTCCAACAACAATTGTTTTTCCTAATGATCTTAAGGACACCCTTCCAAGAGCTTTGCAACTAGAGAACTCTACTACACACACTGTCTCGTGCAAAATCACCTGAAATCAGAGACAATAAAAGTCATTCCAAGTTTTTTTGAGTCCGTGGCATCGAAGACGAACAAAAATTCGGGTAGGATTATTTAAAAAGCAAGTTTTGCTTTGTTTATTTACCTCAATTACTGCACTTTGCTTTGCAGTAAGACAGCGTGGGGACTTTTTGGTTACCTTACCAGTTTTGGGATCAAGTACTGACAATATTTTTGAAACTCTAGCAGGTTCCTTTGCATGGTGTATATGAAACTCTAACTGCACGTATAGAAAAAGAAAATTGAATTTTTTCCCCCAATGAATAGAAATTGGATAATAAACTGTAAGAATATCTTATACATATCGTACACACCTGAGAGCCCACCAATAAGGGACTTGCACCATCCAAGAGAAGTACTTTCAACTCCAAATGCTTTGCAACTGTGACAGGAAAGTCAGGATGGCATAGTACACCTCCTGCCATTACATGACTTCCATCTACACCTAGCAATGTTACAGCTACGTGATCTCCAGCTCTTGCAACCTTGCAGACATTAGAGTCACGCTCCAATGAGCGTACTGTCCCCACAACAGCTAAAGGCATAACTAAGACCTACAATATATAAATGATACAGTTATAGAAAGAAAATAGTTTTATTTCATGTCGTGTTAGAAGAGTTTAGGCATGTGATTTCATTCCATGCACTGCTATATTATACAGTAACCACATACAAAAAGGTTAAATTTCCAGGCTATAAAAACAAAATTCAAACTCCAATCACATCAATACTTTCTATCCGAAGACTGAAAAAAATTAAACAAAATTAAAAAGGAGGCCACCATGGTACTCTTTTGCAGCACCATTACCACCTGCAATTGACCATCGGATCCATTACCTTGTTCATATTTTCACTAAAGCTATTAGAGGTGTTATACGGACCAACAAGTCAAATACAAATTTCACCACAAATAAGATGTATCGTGACTATCTGGGGTTACACAAAACTGAGCAAAGAATGTCCTAAAACTTTGCATGACATTGGGATATTATTTTATATCATATTCGATGGAATGAAGGATGATATTGCACGATACATGCTTAACTAGCATTGTTATGGGCAGTCTTTACTTCAAGAGAAAATTTAGATTTTAGAAAAGAGAGGAAACTATATATGGATTGAGAACTTGGCAAAGTAACGCGAAATACAAGGTTGCACGTGAGGACTTGCATGTGATTTAACCCAGATCGATGCAAGTCAAACAATATTCTGGGTTTCCAAATCAGCATCTTCTTCGTTACATAAAATGCTAAAGCTATTGCTATAATAAAAGGGAAATTAGTGAAGGTAATCAATTTTTTTTTTGATTTTGGCATAAGTCTGATTTTGTTACATCTTATACTGCTTTATTAAAATTTGTATTTAATGAAATGCATTTCTCTAGTATTTATGTTGGTTGTGTCATAGGGGGAATTAATTGGTAACGAAGAAGATGGAGCAACAGAGATCCATTTGCTGAAGTCGTGTATGAATGAATTCAAATTTCTCTGGCAGACCCGGGATTTTTTATAACAGGGGATAAAAATAAAATTATAAAATTACAAATATTATTAAGACTAATAGGAAATACTAACTACCCCTGATACTTCTTCAATGCATATACTTTTCATAATGATACAAATATGAAATTGAAATAGAAAACATATAAAGCACAAATGAGTTTAAGTTTATCAGCAAGACAACGACACCAAAATATATGTATATATTTTTTTTAGGTAAATGATCGCCTATAATTATATTAACAAAATTTACAGTCTTAGAAAAAAAGAAACAAATACTTACCTCAGTTTGTGGATTTTTAAAATTTTAAGGTTTCATTCAGAAGGGTTTCACCCCGCTTACGTTACACTTTCATTTTTCATAGATGCAATCACACCAAGAGTGAAAAACACAACAGTGCTCTCTCTGGCTTTTCTCTTTCAAGAGTTTTATTTCACCCAAATATTACATTTAATAATCATTACATAGAATACATATAATCTTCTATTACAAATATATCTTATTAATCAATTCGTAACACTATAAACATCACAAGATAACATAAGGAATAATGAACAGAAATATTTTCATTGACCATAATTGATTCCGCCGAAAAAAGGTATAAACAAGCATAGCAGAAAGAACAATGTCAAATACTCAAATCTCTCAAAACCGTTCCAACCAAAAAAAAGTGTAAACAACTATGAACAGTATCAAATCTCTTAATAACAAATTTCCCCTTCTTCCAAATTGTTGAGATATATAGTCCCACATTGGTTGTATGTGCAACTAATGTGACCAATGTGGGACTATATTTCTCAACACAAATCATTCAAATCCTCCACATCTTCATCTGAGGTAATATAGTCATGCTTGAAAAATAAACCAAGCCGCTCGAGTGGGTTTTGAGCACGAGATTTATCCATTGCAACTCTAGAGCAATGTTTACTGCTGAAGTCTCCATAACACAGCTTACCCCCACACAACATTTCAAGCTCCTCCCAAATCGTCAAGTCATTCTGTATCTCAACAGTTCTTTCAATCTACCAAAGAAGACACATAGAGTGAAACTTCATGTTGTCATTTTGAAAAACCATTATAAAAAATATATTATACAAGAACAAAACCTTTTGTATTCTGACTCGTTCAGCTTCTCTTTCTTTTTCTCTTTGCTGCTTAAACTGTATTGCGGAATACTTATTTTAACTACTTTTACATCTTACTTCACTTATTATAAGTTGCTAAGGGGTTCCCATAAACCCACTTAGCCAATTCTCAACTTTACGTTATTACCTTTTCGAACATGGTTCACTAATTAATTTTCTACGAACACACCACTCACAACCAGACCTTTCTTTCAAATTATATTTTTTTCTTACTTAATTCCCTTTCTAATAAGCTATCACACACTTTAATCGGAGCTCGTTTGCTCCGGTTATCGCCGTTTGAAGTTGGACAAGCAAAACTGCCAACCAACCCCAAAACAGCTCAAAACCACACTCACTCCACGAATTACTGTAGTCAATCGTCTCATCCAATTACTCTCAAATTTTTATGCTACCAACTAGACACCTCAAGCTTCGATTTGATACATCACACGCTTAATTTGACTGAGAGGAGAAGCGGGAAACAATTCCTCAAAAACAGGCCAGAACAGCCCCCAAGTGCAGGGCAAACAGGGCAGCTGTGTTCACAGCCCTCCCAAGTCCAGCTCCTAGATCATAACAACCTCATATTTTATCACCATGTAGGGGACATCTCAAGCTTCAAAATGGCATATGGTATGTCCCTATTGGACCTCTGTGGAGGGAGATATGCTCTCCCAAAGTTCGTCTAAAATCTGCCAATTCTACAGAAAATTCGCCAGAATTTCCTTTGTTTTTCCAACATTTTCCAAATTTGTACAAGTGGTCTATGACCTCAAATGGTACCTAATAATCAGTGGGTGGCACACACAAGGACCAACAATGCCTTGGGGCTCTTACAACCCACAATATACAACAATTCCATATCATATACAGTAATATACATGCATGATCCATAACTCTATATATATCACATTAAAAGGTGGCTATGTGTCATAACTACAACATCCTACATCAACCTACATAAACATAATACATCACAGTGTACATATAAATACGACAGACTACCAAAATAAGCAGGCATCATCTATGCTTAGATCTACTCATCAACCACGGGCCTCTTGCCCCGAGAACGATCGTCAACTGCTGCGATACCTGAAATATGTCCCCATAACGCGGGGTGAGAATGAATCTCAATAAACTTGGGGTTTATGGAGCAGTCTCCACCCAAGAGTCCACTTCCTGCAAGAAAATATCAAGTACCAAGACATAGATAACACCATATAATCCATATTAGAATTTCCGTATCATATATCTTTTCTGATAATTCTAATTTATTCTTATAACGTACTTTCTTATTAATCTTAAGTATGTTCATGTCTTATGTATAAATAAGGCTTACATCTTATATTCGTAATATTGTATCACATTCAATAGCATACTCATAATGATCAGAGAACTAAAGTTTCCTCGGCTATACCTTATGTATACCGTGATCATATCCATAATTGTTTCCTCTGTTCAGAAACCGTAACTTACACTTCCAAGGCTTTATTTCATTGAAGATCATATCATATTAACTTATCATAACATAAATAATATCATATGCATGCACTATATGAATGCAACTACGCAAGTATCAATATTAACAACAATTATATCCATACGGAAACCATAATCGCCACTGATCATGGCGGAACAAAAAGGCTGAGAAAACTCCTAAACCGAAAGCTTACCTGTCACCTCTTTCCTGCTGCTAACTTGCTATTTAATACATCGTAACTTGGTTGTCTACAAGTTGTTCGTCCACCTACTTCGTCCGATTACACTCTGTTACCGTACATATAAAAGTACCATTAATTTCCAATGAAATATACATTACTTGAAATCCGAATAATTATATTTCATATGTCAATTTCATAACCAACTTGACAACTTTATTTCCCTTGACAGTTCATGCCATACCACAAGTCTACACTTAATTTATAATTCATAACTTAGACCCTCAACTAGTTAATTAATTTACTAATTTATAGTTGACATTTCATACACTTTAAAAAAAAAGCTTCACGTATCTTAAACCATTGGAATTATACTTACTTATTCTAGGAAAATGCTATAAATCAATCACTTGAATTGAAAACACATAATCTATGCCCATTATTCCTTCATGGCCGAATTCTATATATAAACATATATACAATTCTTTTGTTGCCATACTTAATCAAATTAACTTGATTCTCATACAAATATTTCTTACATAAAATTTCTATTAACTTCACATAACTAACATCCTTTCATTTAACTACTTAGATTGATCTATTTCATATTTGTGTGATTAATAATTCAATCACAAGCCCTCAATAATTTTTTTATTAAATTACATAGTTGTTCTTATAAAATAGATAACACTTTCATACTAAACTTATGAACTTTACATTCTTAATTAACCAAGAAGTGAATCCATTGCACCTTATACAACCACACGTTAAAGATTTTACTTAAACAAGTATTCAAACACCACTCTCACACATTTTGATGAAGAGGGCTGAAAATCACATGTGTAGGTTCCTAGAGTTAACACTTTTTCTAAAGATTCTAAATTGGTTCTCTATGGATTCAATCTTCAACAAATTATCTAACATACTCTAATCTTTGTTGACAACTTCATAATAATATCCACCCTTAAATTTCTACAAAGGCTGAGGCATCCAAAAACAAAGGATTCAAGGATTATTTTCAATTCAAACTCATTGTATCATGATTTAATCAATTCTCATGCATCTTTAACTTATGTATACCTCATTACAAACCTATGTAATCACTTCCATACCATTCATCATTCATAGGGCAGATTTGCCCTATGGGGATATCACCAAAATCTAGTGAACTTTACATCATTTTCTTCAACTTAATTCATCACAAGACCTTCTTAATTCTTGATTTCTTTTAGGCATTATTACAAACACCTAGTGTGCATCTTTTTACACATAAAGGTCGAACCATATGGGGTTCCTTAATTCACCCCATGTGCAGATTGTTTTAAGCATACAACTAGAAGAATGCATCATCCAATAACAACAAACCATGAACCAATTAAATTCCAACATACATACATCCTTTAACCTCAATAAAATTCATCCAAAACACATTATAAATCTGTTTTCCAGCCATGATTACAGCCATTAAAGATCAATTTACATACCTTAATTAACTTCTCTAGAAGCTAGGATATTTTCTCCAACAAGAAATAAAGAAGGCAGTCCACGAGAGCTCCCTTGACAGCCTTGAGGTCGCAACCATGGAAGGGGAATATCTCACCAAATAAGGCTTCTTACAAGGCGCTTTCACTTGGGGTATGATCTTAAGGTTGTTGTCTTTGATTTCTTTGGAGAAACCGAAGCAGGAAGATGTCAGGAAATGAAGTTGTACGCTTGCCCTATTCTTTCATATGCGTTCGGTTTTGTAAAAGAAGAAGAAACAAAAGGATGAACCGTGGAAATGAGACTTAAAGAGGCAACCGACTTTGGGTACCCTTTATAACAAATGAATTAACTTTCATGCCATCTCCTTTTTGACTTTTCAACATGATGGTTGTTTTGCTATCTCACTAAAGACAAGGTAAGAAAACTATCGTGAAAAACCAAAAGGAATATAAAACCGATTTGGAAGGCTAAGCAATTGCTACTTGGTTGCTTAATTCAAATGCTACTACTTGACTACAAGGAAATAAAAGTGACGTGGAGGAGCAGCAAAAAGAGATTTGCTTTAGTAAAATTAAAGTCCAAGTAACTTCAATTGTTACCCTATATACATCTTCAATTCTTCTAACCTCAATTAAATTCTTATTGGATTTTCTTTTATTTAATTTATCTCAACTTAATTTTAATAATTATTACAGCAATTATCTAATTAAATTAAAGGTACTTTAAACCCACTAATTCTGCTAAACTAATTAATTATACATTCTAAATCATAATTATACTTATTTCGTCTAATTATTAAAATAAATCTGATCTTTTACTACCATAACATCCATATCCTCATATATAATCCATAATTATATTTGGGCCCTATTAGACTTACATGGTATGAACTGTATCCTTAAATTAATTATCATATTTATCACATGATTTCCTACTCACCATTTCGTTAATTACGTGTTTAATCTAATTAAACACTCGATTGATTTACTGTTATATATTTTGACAGTGAGAGTTGTTATACAAAGCGGCGCTTCAGTGTAGCAACACGGATAGCCTTTTTTTGTGATAACAGTACATCATAAACAGGAGTGCTCCATTCTGGAAAAAAAAATAGCAATTAGAGTCATACCAATTCACAATATAAAATGCAGTAGCAATTAAATGAAGCATAACTGGAAAAGTTGAACTTCTCTAGAAAGGGAATCAGTAACAGGTGATGTAAGGTGAGAAGTATAACATCCATGTTCGCTATCGAGACAACTTGCAGCCCCTTCACATACTATCCACATCATCAGTGCATTCCAAATTATCGAATAAGTTACAGGTAGAACGTCACATATCACAAATCATTTGCAACGAATCTGTAACGACTTAATGCTTTGTACCTTTGTGTAAGTTTTTCTGAATCAATTTGCAACGAGTCTGTAACGACTTAGGAACCTCAACCTATATAATCAAAGTATTGCCACAATTAAAAAATATTATGAACATACATAAAACAAGCAAAACACAATAACAAGCAACATTATGTTACATCAATTCCAACACATGTATTACATTTTCGCAAATTCCAATGAGGCTTACTTCCCTCGAAGAAAACAATACTTACTTTAGGATGTCTTCCATCCAATGAACTAATCTTCTGAATTTCTTTCATTTCAGGTACTTGTAACTTTTTGGGCAAGGTATCCTTTTGCAGGGGAGGCATCCTATTACAAAATTTTCTCACATGTTGTAAGAACCCGCACCGTTAATTAAGGTATTTAATTAATTAATTATGCAAAAATAAGAATGATTCCATAATTGACCCTAATAATTATTTATGAGACTTAATAATCATAATAAGTGATTAAGAATGCTGAAAGTCGCTTTTCGGAAGAAAAGTGCAGATACCGGTTCTTCTAGTCAGTATAAATGTGTACCGAAAAAGTATCCCGGAAAATTAAAGTTAGTGCATGATAATTACTAGAATAATATGTAGGACTTGTAGAACGATTTTCAAGTCCAAATAATGAGAACTGGTGCTAGAAACCGGTACTGGCTTTGAAAAGCGCGTACCGGAAAGTTGCTCAGAAAAATATAAGAAAAATATGATAATTCTTAGAAAATTATGTAGTTTCAGAATCCAAAGTTTGGGATTAAAATGCTAAGCGTAGCAATTAAAGTTAATATTGTGTGTTTAAGTGTGTTTGGGCTATAAATACTCCCATTATGGGCACAAAACCCTAGGATCAGATTTCTATACGTGACTCTTTTGCTGATTCTCTCCAGCCTTCTCTTCTCTCTTGAAAGTCTTGGCCTTTGCTCATGAAAAGGGACCAAGAAGCCATCTTTGTTGTGAGTCTTCTTCTTGAGAGTTGTAAACACTAAGCTTGAGAGCATTGTGAGGGGGTGGTGGAGCTTTGTGAGTTGATGCTTGCTGTTTGTGGGACGTTTTTGGGGCTGTTTGTTCTGAGTTTGGGTTGTGTAGCCTTGTTCTTGGCTTCTTGAGCTTCAAGAAGACACCTTTTGGCATAAAGGGACAAGCTTGAAGTGTATTTTCGTAGCCTTGTGAAGTCAGAACTGTGGGAGCTTCTAGTGAGCTCCAAGAGCACCTCCCTCTGCTGTTTTTTGAGCTGTGGTATGATCACCAACCTTTAACTTGAGTTTTAAGGCTTAAAAGTGGTACCTTTATGCACCTAATGACTAAAAGATGATAACTTGTTGTTGGGTAATGTTGAACACGCCTAGAAATGCATGATTAGGTGTTTAAAATCGGTAAAAGGGAACCTTTAAGGGATATCTTCACGAAAATGCAGAAACTGCATTCTGTCGTGAAATATTCGGATATCTGCCCGTGGAATATCCGGATATTGGATATCCGGATATGATATCCGGATATGTGTATTCGGATATGGGGTTTTGGGATATCTGGATATTGTATATCCGGATATGTGAATCTGTATATCCGGATATTGCATATCCGGATATGGAAAGTGAGATGTCTGGATATTGCATATCCGGATATGGTCCCGAGGAGTATCCGGATATTCTGGGATTTCGCAGAACAGTAGCTGTGATGTGCATACAGTAGGCTATTGGGGTTTGTAGACCCTAGATTGATGAAGTTGAACTTCTGTTTTTAATGGACTAAGCCAGAATCATGGGATTAAGGGCTTATGGCTTTGTTAGAAGCTTTAAGACTTGAAAACGTAATGAAAAGATGTTGTCTTTAATTGTATGCATGTGGTACATGTTTATTGATTTATGTTTGCTCCATATCAGATTGTGATCTGCTGTGATTGGACTTTGAGCTTGTGGCATTGGATAGCTAGCTTAGAGGTAAGCTTTCGTGTCCTCGGTTTAGCCATGTTGTGGTTCCACCATGTCCCATGGGGATATGGTTATATGCATGTTGTGTTACATGCTTTTGATGTTTTAGAAATGCTGTTGAGCTATTGTATGTTAGTGCCTTGTTGATATGCATGGAGGTGTTCCACCTATACGGTAAACCTGAGTATGTAGAACATACAAGAGGGTGAGGCTGTGGGTGAGGTGCAAGCGATGTTCCTTGTACTACATGTAGGGAATAGACGTATTCCTACATTTCTCTGGCCAGTAGATAGTGATTACACACATGCCATAGATATCTGTTGCACTACATAGTTTTGGAACTGATAATGATATAAATGCTTTTTGAACTTATATTGCACATGTAAGTGAGCTTGGGGTGGAAGATCCTTGAGGACCCCCCTTGTCTTACTGAGATTTCTAGTTTAGAGATCTCACCCCACGTTTGGGGAATACTTATTTCATGGTCAGGTAATGTTGAGACCTCAGGCGGCAGGAGGCCGGAGCTGAGTTAGAGTGCTGTTATTTTATGCTGCCATGATTGGATGCTGGATTTGCATGTTGTCTATATGCTTATAACTTCAGTTTATGTTTATGGAGTTTTATGTTGAGACTTGTTGTTTACTATGTCTATTTGGTGAGCATGGGGATTGTCCATGACACATAGTATTATTATGTCTTGGTTATGTCTTGAGTCTTTTGGAGTTGTAATAATGTACCAGGATATTGTCCGGATTACTTGATGTAATGCCGTGATTTAGATACACACTTTATCTATATATTGAGGTATTTTAGTAGATGTCTTAGTGCAATTTACATACAGGCGTTGTTTTATGAAATTGATTAAGTAATCAAGTTGGTAATTGATAATGACGTCATAATTGAAAAGAAAAAGAATATTCTGCATTTTTAATTAAGCACCGCTTAATACGATGTAATGTTAATATTCCGGGTATACACGGGGTGTTACATTTTATGGTATCAGAGCAACGGTTCTAGGGAAAAGCCTGTATGTATTGCAATGATTAGGAGGTTTGGTTGTGTCTGTTTTGTGTGTTTGCTCCGTCGAGTATTATTATGATAATGCATATGTGACCACATTGCGTGGGCCTGATCAACTCATAATTTGTGTAACTTGTGCAGAATCATGGTAAGACCCGGGAGAAACTGCGAGACTTCGAAGGATCGGCCTGATCCTGTCCTGGCTGCATTAGCTGAGATGCAGGCGGCCTGACTAGCCGACCAGGAGGCCATGAGAATGGCAAACCAGGCCATGCTGGACGCCGTCAGAGAGGCGAACAGGAAGGCCACTGAGGACGTGTTGGAGGCCAACCGTCTGGCGAACATGACGATGTTTAGAGTCATGTTGGAGGAGATGAGGAATGGCCCTGATGTTGGTCATGCTCCACCGCCACCACCTCCACCGCCACCACCACCACCTCCACCCAGTCTGCAGGATGACTCTCAGAGTCAGATGGGAGATGGCAGTCATCTTACGGGGGCCATGCAGACCGTCCCTGTTTTTGTTGAGGATCGTGATGAGATCGATCGCCGGCTGAATGCTTTCCGTAAGCATAAGCCACCTGCCTTTGATGGATCCTTTGATCCTGTTGCTGCTGCACGTTGGCTTCAGGCGTTGGACAAGATTTTTCGGGTCATGCAGTGCACAGATCTGCAGAAGTTGATGTTCGCTACTTACATGCTGGAGGGCGATGCCCATGAGTGGTGGACAAACCTTTCTCATGTCTACGAGATGCAGGGTCATGTGATGACTTGGCCTATGTTCGAGGATTTCTTCTTGGGTCAGTACTTTCCATATGAGCTCAGGAGAGGCAGCAGGGGGAGTTTGACAGATTGGTTCAGGGCTCGTTGTCTGTGGACGAGTACCTGGCCAAGTTCAACCAGTTGGTGAAGTTTGCACACTTCAGGATGGCGAGGCCTACTCCTACATTTCTGGCTGCTAAGTTCCGCAGGGGACTTAGTGAGGATATTGCTGGTTACCTAGCTGGTTCTGCTTCTAGAGATTTTGGGACACTGGTTCAGTAATGTCGTGATATTGAAGATTACTACAGCTCGAGTAAGGCCAAGAGGAGCTAAAGTTTTTTTTCTCTGTCAAATTTTTTCTCTCTCCTATGATGTGTAATACTTTCATTGATGGGATGCACTGAATCTTGGTGCAGCAGTAGCACCAAAGATTTATTCCTATGATACATATATAGTGACAAAAAAAAAAACTGGACTACTCTTACATAATTCATATATTGACCCGAGAAACTCAACAAGAGTCACATAACCGCCCGTTGTCTGCCAGCATAACTAATTCTAGACTTAGATGGCAAACAAAGATGTTTACTGAAAATACCATTAAATTCTCCATGTTATCATCATCTAATCTTTTATGACGAATATCATAAACTAATTTTCATCTTCAATAATTCTTGTCACAAGTCCAACAGCAATTGTTCTTCCTAATGATCTTAAGGACACCCTTCCAAGAGCATTGCAACTAGAGAACTCTACTACACAGACTGTCTCGTGCAAAATCACCTGAAATCATAGATAATAAAAGTCATTCCAAGTTTTTTTGAGTCTGTGGCATTGAAGACGAACAAAAATTCGGGTAAGATTATTTAAAAAGCAAGTTTTGCATTATTTATTTACCTCAATTACTGCACTTTGCTTTGCAGTAAGACAGCGTGGGGACTTTTTGGTTACCTTACCAGTCTTGGGATCAAGTACTGACAATATTTTTGAAACTCTAGCAGGTTCCTTTGCATGGTGTATATGAAACTCTAACTGCACGTATAGAAAAAGAAAATTGAATTTTTTCCCCCAATGAATAGAAATTGGATAATAAACTGTAAGAATACCTCATACATATCATACACACCTGAGAGCCCACCAATAAGGGACTTGCACCATCCAAGAGAAGTACTTTCAACTCCAAATGCTTTGCAACTGTGACAGGAAAGTCAGGATGGCATAGTACACCTCCTGCCCTTACATGACTTCCATCTACACCTAGCAATGTTACAGCTACGTTATCTCCAGCTCTTGCAACCTTGCAGGCATTAGAGTCACGCTCCAATGAGCGTACTGTCCCCACAACAGCTGAAGGCATAACTAAAACCTACAATATATAAATGATACATTTATAGAAAGAAAATAGTTTTATTTCATGTCTTGTTAGAAGAGTTTAGGCATGTGATTTCATTCCATGCACTGCTATATTATACAGTAACCACATACAAAAAGGTAAAATTTCCAGGCTATAAAAACAAAATTCAAACTCCAATCACATCAATACTTTCTATACGAAGACTGAAAAAAATTAAACAAAATTAAAAAGGAGGCCACAATGGTACTCTTTTGCAGCACCGTTACCACCTGCAATATTGACCATCGGATCCATTACCTTGTTCATATTTTCACTAAAGCTATTAGAGGTCTTATACGGACCAACAAGTCAAATAAGGATTTCACCACAAATAAGATGTATCGTGACTATCTGGGGTTACACAAAACTGAGCAAAGAATGACCTAAAACTTTGCATGACATTGGGATATTATTTTATATCATATTCAATTGAATGAAGGATGATATTGCACGATACATGCTTAACTAGCATTGTTATGGGCAGTCTTTACTTCAAGAGAAAATTTAGATTTTAGAAAAGAGAGGAAACTATATATGGATTGAGAACTTGGCAAAGTAACGCGAAATACAAGGTTGCACGTGAGGACTTGCATGTGATTTAACCCAGATCGATGCAAGTCAAACAATATTCTGGGTTTCCAAATCAGCATCTTCTTCGTTACATAAAATGCTAAAGCTATTGCTATAATAAAAGGGAAATTAGTGAAGGTAATCAATTTTTTTTTTGATTTTGGCATAAGTCTGATTTTGTTACATCTTATACTGCTTTATTAAAATTTGTATTTAATGAAATGCATTTCTCTAGTATTTATGTTGGTTGTGTCATAGGGGGAATTAATTGGTAACGAAGAAGATGGAGCAACAGAGATCCATTTGCTGAAGTCGTGTATGAATGAATTCAAATTTCTCTGGCAGACCCGGGATTTTTTATAACAGGGGATAAAAATAAAATTATAAAATTACAAATATTATTAAGACTAATAGGAAATACTAACTACCCCTGATACTTCTTCAATGCATATACTTTTCATAATGATACAAATATGAAATTGAAATAGAAAACATAGAAAGCACAAATGAGTTTAAGTTTATCAGCAAGACAACGACACCAAAATATATGTATATATTTTTTTTAGGTAAATGATCGCCTATAATTATATTAACAAAATTTACAGTCTTAGAAAAAAAGAAACAAATGCTTACCTCAGTTCGTGGATTTTTAAAATTTTAAGGTTTCATTCAGAAGGGTTTCACCCCGCTTACGTTACACTTTCATTTTTCATAGATGCAATCACACCAAGAGTGAAAAACACAACAGTGCTCTCTCTGGCTTTTCTCTTTCAAGAGTTTTATTTCACCCAAATATTACATTTAATAATCATTACATAGAATACATATAATCTTCTATTACAAATATATCTTATTAATCAATTCGTAACACTATAAACATCACAAGATAACACAAGGAATAATGAACAGAAATATTTTCATTGACCATAATTGATTCCGCCGAAAAAAGGTATAAACAAGCATAGCAGAAAGAACAATGTCAAATACTCAAATCTCTCAAAACCGTTCCAACCAAAAAAAAGTGTAAACAACTATGAACAGTATCAAATCTCTTAATAACAAATTTCCCCTTCTTCCAAATTGTTGAGATATATAGTCCCACATTGGTTGTATGTGCAACTAATGTGACCAATGTGGGACTATATTTCTCAACACAAATCATTCAAATCCTCCACATCTTCATCTGAGGTAATATAGTCATCCTTGAAAAATAAACCAAGCCGCTCGAGTGGGTTTTGAGCACGAGATTTATCCATTGCAACTCTAGAGCAATGTTTACTGCTGAAGTCTCCATAACACAGCTTACCCCCACACAACATTTCAAGCTCCTCCCAAATCGTCAAGTCATTCTGTATCTCAACAGTTCTTTCAATCTACCAAAGAAGACACATAGAGTGAAACTTCATGTTGTCATTTTGAAAAACCATTATAAAAAATATATTATACAAGAACAAAACCTTTTGTATTCTGACTCGTTCAGCTTCTCTTTCTTTTTCTCTTTGCTGCTTAAACGCTTCATTGGCTTTCATTCTTGCAGCTACCACAACAGTGTAAATGAAGCAAAATGCAGCATTTATATTATATAAAAGCTAGAAATAAAGCTTCATAGTCCCCAAATCAAAATTCAACTAAGATAATGAGCATTTAAATATGAAAACAATCATAAAGTTATATTAAACCAAATTAATTTTTTTCCCCAAGTATGGAAATGACAGATGCTATATTCACCTTCATGCTGCTTCCTTTCCCTTTCCTTTTGCATCTTCATTTTCACACCCTAAACAAAGAAAGGCAAAAAGGAGTTGGGGAATAATGCTACATTCAAAACTACAAACTATTAAAACACAAGGAGAAAGTACCATAACCAAGATATGCAAAAGCCTTACCTGGTCCAAAAGTGTTTCATTTTGTGCTTTACGGATAGTATCTGCAAAGCGGCGCTTCAGTGTAGCAACACGGATAGCCTGTTTGGGTGATAACAGTACATCATAAACAGGAGTGCTCCATTCTGGAAAAAAAATAGCAATTAGAGTCGTACCAATTCACAATATAAAGTGCAGTAGCAATTAAATGAAGCATAAATGGAAAAGTTGACCTTCTCTAGAAAGGGAATCAGTAACAGGTGATGTAAGGTGAGAAGTATAACATCCATGTTCACTATCGAGACAACTTGCAGCCCCTTCACATACTATCCACATCATCAGTGCATTCCAAATTATCGAATAAGTTACAGGTAGAACGTCACATATCACAAATCATTTGCAACGAATCTGTAACGACTTAATGCTTTGTACCTTTGTGTAAGTTTTTCTGAATCAATTTGCTAACGACTTAGGAACCTCAACCTATATAATCAAAGTATTGCCACAATTAAAAAATATTATGAACATACATAAAACAAGCAAAACACAATATCAAGCAACATTATGTTACATCAATACCAACACATGTATTACATTTTCGCAAATTCCAATGAGGCTTACTTCCCTCGAAGAAAACAATACTTACTTTAGCATGTCTTCCATCCAATGAACTAATCTTCTGAATTTCTTTCATTTCAGGTACTTGCAACTTTTTGGGCAAGGTATCCTTTTGCAGGGGACGCATCCTATTACAAAATTTTCTCACATGTCCCCTCACTGCTCCAGTCATAATTTTTTCATTCTCATTTTCACACTTGCATTTTTTCTCCAAGTCTTTCCATTTTCTCTCAAATATTTTTTTGAGCTCCGTTGCCATTAAATGAACAGCATTCATAGGAGGATTATATGTCATGGCATTTGAAAAGGTCAATCTAACATCAGCTGCAAATTCCTCAATGCTAAAGTAAATATTTTTTTCCAGCTTGGATTTAATAGTGCCTAAATCCATGGGATGAGATATGACTGTAAAATAATCTGGAATATTCAATGCCACAGGATCCACTGGCTTATTAAAAGCCCAGCCATGTCTGTGGGATGTTAGACTCTTCAGAATGGCAGTACACAGAAGAGATGTTTTCCGATCTATCTTCTGCCTTTTCTCTTTATGGCCCTCGATAATACCTTGTGGTCCTCTCTTGATGGAACCTGTCATAGAGGATTTTTCCTTTGAATTAGAGCACTCATTCTCATCAAAGTGGGATGCTTTTTCTCTAAATTCATACTTTTTCAATCCAGAATCAACTTCAACCCTTTTGGTTGTAAGTAGTAACTTGAAATTTGATTTCTTACCTTGTACTGTTGTTTTAGTAGCACCCATAACGATGTATTAAAACAAATTGTTTGAGGATAATGTTTTGATTTCCAAATTCTTAGGATCCAACAGGCACACTTTGCTGCAAAGGCATCAAAGAAACAATACATCAATCACATATTGGATAGCCCAAACAAGGTGCCAAAAAAAAAAAGATAGCAACAGTCCCAGCAAAAATAATGTAACCCAATTCAACAAGCATAATTAATTTAGGGATAAAATATAGCACCATACGAGGAAAAAAAATCAAATATTAAATAACTCCATATATCAAACACATTTTTGCGCAAAGTAAATCACATTTTTTATAAATTACCAAAAAAAAAATCACATTTTTTATAACACAAACACTGGCATGCATATACAGTGAATTAGATTAAAAAAGAAATTGACATCAAAACACCAAATTCGGACAATTTTTTTTTACAACTTGCATAAATCCAGGCCAAAAAAAACTCAAAACTATCAAAAACCCATATTCCCCGACACCAGAAATAAAAAAATTTGGGAAAAACTTTAATAATATTCCTATGGTTTGCTTTAAAATCAAAAATACCCTTTAACCTTTTTTTTAAACAGTAATGGCTCTGTGATATAGAAAATACCCATACCCTCTTTATCACCATTAATACATTTATGTGTTTCTTTTATTATTGTCCCTGTTTAAACAACAAATATAATCACACTTTGAAGGGTTTAAATAAGAGCAATAATGGAGGAGGGGCATGCAGTTGTTAAGGAAGAGTATGGTGTTTTCTACACTATAGATGTTTTTTTATTCAAAAGCAAACTTTAAGAGTAAAATTATTCAAAAACAAAAGAGAGGAGAAAAGTGAAAACACATAAAGTAACCAAGAAGTCCCTAATCCCGCCCAGTTTGCCATTCATATCGGAACGAAAGGGTTTTTTCTTAAAAAGAAAAAAAAAACTGAAATTTTAAGTAAGCAATTTTATTGAGAGAGAAGCAACTTTATGAGAAAACAAAAAAAATAATAATAATAATTTTTCATGACAAAACTGTATCGTGTATATATTAAAAAAAAAAAGGCATGTCCGAAATCATTTGTCTGCGGTGAAGAGAAAAAAAGAAGAGAGAGAAACTATAAATATGATAAATAGACCCCACTCTATTTTTTCTCTTTCGAGGCAGACAAAAAGTTTCTACCTTTAAAAAAGCAATCATTCCCCCTTAAAAAAAAATGGGGAGTGGATCCTCTCATGTGTAAAAGTGGTCATGTGGTCATGTTATTTGATCACAATCACTCATTTAAAAATTATATATTTTTCTCTCTCTTATCTCATCATCAATGAATGGTTGTGATCAAATAACATGACCACATGACCACTTTTACACATGAGATGATCCACTCCAAAAAAATGGGTGGAAGGAACTCGTTCTCATTCTTCTTCCTAATTGTATCAAACAATATTATTGAGAAGTTAAATTTCCAGCAAAGCAAAATACGACAAAACAAAAACCATCTTACCCGAACAACAGAGAGAGAGAGACAGAGCGCCGAACCGCAGGGAAGGACCACGCTTGCAATAGGGTTTTACTCGCAACAGGGTTTTACTCCGAACAGGGTTTTAAGTTTTAACCGTATATATAACCTATTTCAAATTTTTCACCAGTGGAGCATAGATTATAATCTCTACAACCACCTAAAGATTAGAGAAATTTGGGGCAGAGAACCGGTTGGTAACCAGAAGAATATAAAATAAGTTAAACTAAGTTTTTGAACTAAGAAGAGAGAATAGTAGATGAGAAATGTTGAAGAGTGAATTGGTTTGGTTAGGCTAGACCTCTATTTATAGTTGAAGTTTTGGGCTCAGATATGGATTTCGTGCATTTATTTCCTTATTCTTTATTGATGTATCTGGCTCAGATTTTGGCTTTATACACTATTTTCTTATTAATTTCTTATGGCTCAGATTACAGCTAACTTATTTGCTAACTCAATGCTGACTCATTATTGACTCATCATATCTAATCAAATTACCAATCAACATTACCAATCAATCATTACCAATCAATCATTACCAATCGAACATTACCAATCAATCATTATTAATCAATCATTATCAATCAAACATTATCAATCAAACATAAATGCTTAATGTAACAGCCCCAAACCCTGTAGCATGATATTGTCCGCTTTGCCCTCGGGCTCACGGTTTTGTTTCTTGGGACACCCCACAAAAGGCCTCATGCTTAATATTTTCACCCACTAATTACTTTTAACTTTTCATTCCATTCCGATGTTGCAACTTAACCATACGTTCCACTTATTTATCACTTTTTCATAACCATCATCATTTTAGCATGGATGTCAGACGCTAAACACTATTACTTTACCGCTTTACTAACTTCCACCAAATACCTTGGGACGAATCATTTTTCCACACTCTTTTCACTATTAACTGATGGACCACTAAAAATGTCATGTCTCTCACATGCAAGTCTCATCCTATAGGAATCTTTGAAACTTCATTATCAAGTCACATAAAACTAAATCCATCCTTGCCACTACTTATACAATGGTATATCATTCTCTCGGAATATTCAAAGCTACCACAAACACTCGGCCATACCTCATTAATACTTAACCAAAACAACATTAACATTGTGCATCTTCCACACACTTTCCACCATAAGCGGCATATACGATTATATATATAACACTCCTCAATCCACTCTATCAGTACAACCAAGCTATCAACTTTTAGGCAACCGATCGCAATTCCCGTTTCCAACTATTATTGCACATTCGTGCTTGATTCCATCATAGTTTACCTTTTATAAGGGCTTATAATTCACCGTTTTAACCTGAACTCTTGATCATCACCAGCCTTCTTAGAAGGACACTTACTCCATCTGTCAACATTAAATCACACTATTATCTCTTTCATCATAAGACGAGAATTCCAACAAATTTACTACCTCACTTGGAGCCGAAATTATTTCATCAGACTTACTTTACACCCACAATAGTGCTTCACTATCACACTTCTAAATTCTTACACACTATGCCTCACCTCTTATATCCAAATCTGACATATCTTGTTCATTTACAAATATCTGACCTCATATTTTGCGTTAATCACATGGAAGAACTCTCTCAATACAGTGGGTAACAACATTCACAGGTTTTAACCGCTCGAGCTCTTGCTTTCCTCAGGGCCCCAGATGTAATAACTCATCGATCAGAGAATCCACCCATATGATCTCTGCCGTAATAATAACTTACCACTAGCTATCCTGTTCTATTAGCATTTCCAACGTTTCTTATTGGTGCATTTATATAAATCAACTCAACTATACTAACAGTCACACCAATACGGAACACTTCCTCGTCACCGATTACTCATATAAGATAACAATTGTCTCCGGGAACGTAATCCACACGGAGATAACCATACCCTGTGGGCCCATAACATCATGTCGTACCACATGCACCCAGTGCATAGAGAAATTTATATTCACAATAAATCTGTATATCACAATCAACGTGTACCCAGTACACACCAGATCACACTTGGACCCTGTCCATTTGGTGTCTGTCTCACCTCTGTATATATAACAGCAAAATATCTTTGGTATATTCACATAGGGCTATCCCCATAACCATAGTAGTAGTGGTATAATATACACCTGTTATATATATAAGTCAATTCATTTTACTATCTCATTTCATTCTTCTCACTGATAGTTTACATGTAAGTTACTATTATAATAATTCACATTCTCTTCGTAATTTCGTAAACATTTCTTAACTCTCAATAGTTCCTTCTGTCATGTTATTGTTCAAATCCATAGTCCATTATCCCTTCCTTGCTTATTCTTCCCACAGATTGTTTTCTCTTTTACTTTGACTATTCACTTGGCATAGTTCATAACATAATCTCTATTCCGTGAATCCAGAATTTTCTCAAAGTTCAGTACACATCTCACATATACTTCCCATCACACAGGGATCTTCTAAACGTATTCGTCCTATCACAGAGGACTAATTTCACCTCAATCCGTGCACTGGAAAATTATATCAATCCTTGCACTAACACTTATACCTCAACTCATTAACTAATCTTGCCATTTTTGTTTTGACATTACATATTAGCTCTTTTGCTAAACACATAATTCCACACTTTATTGTAACTTAGTTCATACACTAATCACATGATTTCCCATCAGGTTGTACATTAGCTCATTCTCTAATCATACCATCTCACCTTATTGTTATACACTAATAACCCACAAAATCTTGTCACCGTTCTAATCCATTTCCTGGTACGGCCCACATAAACCTCTACGCAAAATGATATAACAACCCGTCTATTTTACTGATCACTTCCACCCTTGGTGGTTGTAGAATATTCCTTACATTGAAAATACCTCCACACTGTCTATCAATCCATATTAAATACCAACGATTTCATAAGCACACTACTATTAGTAGTATCTATATATATACCACAAGATTATAATTTCTTTACAATTCTCATTACTGTCTTACACCTGACTATACAATTCAACCGTACTATTCATTCACTACAACAAACTGTGCAAACGAAGGTGGTTGTTTTGTCTATCAGAGGCGGTCACAACCGCCTGCATTTAACTCATTTGGCGGTTGACAATTCGCCTTTGTTACCACGGTTGAGACCTCATTCTCAGGCGGTTTAGAAAAACCGCTGGAACAGCTGCCACAGTATAACAATGGCGGTTCTTTCGTCGGGTAAGGTCGTCGTAGGATATTCCAAAAATGATGAAATTCTCAGCTGCAGGCGGTACGACTAACCGCCAAAGTTGTCAATATTTCGATGCTTATGAGGGTGGTTTATGTAGTCAGCAAAAATTTATGGCGTTTAGGCTAACCGCCTGCTATTTCCATACAGCAACGTTCAACGTGACTTGTTACTCGGTCAGTATAGTTTACGAAAAAATGTGAAATATTTTCTGGCGGTGGGTGAACCGCCTCGTGTTGGAGTTCGCGGATGGTCTTTATAACCGCCAATATTAAACTTTATAATTTTTTAAAAAAAGCTTAAAATTAATTTGAATTATTATTTTGTTTTAATAAAAAATCCCCTATTATTTTAATCAGAGGTTTATAAGCATTGATGCATTAGAATAGTAAAGAAAAAAGTAAACAATTTTTTGTTAGGTAAGGAGGGCATAACCCCATAAACATTAAAAACATTCTTCCATCTTTAAATTCCGAAACATATTTACCAAAGGTTAATATACAAAACCAAAATAGATAACCTGTCAAAAAAGTATAGTATTATTTTAATCAAGGCTTTATAAACATTCATGCATGGATCGAGGATATTTATGCAAAAAAGTAAACATCATTCATTCTTTAAGTTTGGAAACAGTGACATACATATTGACCAAAGCTTAATTAACATACAAAAGCAAAACAGACCAAGCTGGTTGCATGCAGAACGTACCAAGGTCATCAATTACATCCAAAAAATACCCACGTAATATGCATAACATCCAAAAAAAAGATCCAGGTACTGCCTAACTTGAAAAACATTGGAATTCAACCAACAATGTTAAACTCCAAAACGACCAAATTCCATGTACAACCACTGAAATATCCAAAATACAGTGGTTCAATGAACAACTACCAAATTATGTGAAATTAGGATTCTGGTGGTTGGGGTGCTTGATTTGATATAGTTGGCCCATCAGAAGGGTCATGACTAGCATGGGAGGACTTTCTGATTCCAGGAGAGCCCAAGTCAACAACCTGATATATTAGGAAAAAAGAAAACATATATTAATCCATAAGTTAATTTTAAGAAAAAGGTTAAGAAAACGCAAAAAAAAATATAAAGCAAAATGAGGTTGAGAATTAATCAGATTTCTATTATTGACAAAACTGGAGTATATACACTTGAGGTAACAGCTCTAGGTAAATGTATCAGTGACATAAGCAGTAACTGACCATAAGTAGGTAGAACAGAACAATAACGAATTACTTAACAAGGTTAGAGAGTGCAACTGAGCAACCATATAATCCATACACACTAATAATCCAACAGAACTGAATCTTTATCCCAGCAATCATATAATCCATACAAACTAAATATGTATCCCAGCAACCATATAATCCATTCCAAAAAAATTTATGCAAACTGAAGGAATCAGCATCTATGAAGTTCAGACTATATAATGTCACAACACTACAAGGCCAACAGTGGAGTACATATATAGCAGGTGTGGTGACATATATCAAGTACAATGGAAACTTAGATTTTACCAAAAAAACAATTGTAATTCATCTTCCAATAAAAATAACAATATTGGCAGTGCAGCCATATATAGAACAGTTTTTTCAAGTTGGAACAGTCACCAACCATATATATATTTCCAGTTTTTTCAAGTTGGAACAGTCAACAACCATATTTCCAGTTTTTTCAACTTGGAACAGTATCAAACTTTAAGCACACTGTCAATCCGAGTTCAATAAATGATAAATATATCAAGAATGAAAACAATATCAGAATAGCCAAAGATAATTAATACCACATCACAACCTTCATGCTTTGCACTAGTACCACAGAGGTAACAAAGGAAACAAAAAAATAGTGAATCTGAAGGTGCAATTCGCAGAAAAGCCTACCATATATCTATATATATATATATATATATATATATATATATATATATATATATATATATATATATATATCTACCAAACTTTAAGCACAATGTCGATTCAAGTTCAATAAATGATAAATATCTGAAGAATGAAAACAATATCAGAACAGCCAAAGGACAATGGTGCCACACCACAACCTGAAATGCTTTGCACTAATAGCACAAATTTTACAAAGGAAAAAAAAATATAGTCACACTGAATATGTAATTTACAGAAAAACTGCCATATACCTGATTAGATGGTGAGTGGCCAACAAAATTTTCAGTAAAATGTGCCATTTGCGATTTCAATGTATCAAACTCAGCCATCTTGCCTTTTATAGTGTCCAATTCTCCTTTCAGGGCATCATACTCAGCTTGTGTAGGACCACTACAAGAAGTTGAGGCTGAACTGGTAGATGTTCTACGGATTTGGCTTGGGACCACCCCAAAACCCATGCCTCTAACTCGACCTGGGTGCTCCTTCCCAAACACATTTACAAAAGCCTCATCTTCGAAATTGGCTTTATCCATCTCTATAATTAAATTATCCTACATACAGGGCATGAGAACCTTGTAAAAGTGTACCTCAAAGCTAGAAATTGATATAAAAACAAATTACAAGGAAGTGTTAATACATTTTTTAGCCTAGCTTCCTCATTCACAAAATTGCCATCCTTTTTGATATGAGAAACAGCATACATCTCACCTCTGCTAAATTTGCGTCCTTCTTGTATCTCCTGACAATTGCCATGACACCAAGCCCATTATTTCCATTAATTACAGAAGCAAAATAGTGACATGATAAAAGATTAAACATTTTAATAAAACCATACCAGCTCCCTTTTCCTCCTTGCTAACGTCTTTGAGCCAAGTGTGTGTGGGATTGTTTGTTTCTGTCTATTTGCAGTATTGATAATAATATACTTCTGCATGATGGAAGAAACAAAATAATTAACATATTAATTTTGAATACAAGTGACAGCAACCTACAAGGGCGGTTTTGCATCCTTCGTTACCTTTGCCTTCTCACTTGTTTTGTATGTCAAAAAACTTGCCCATTGTTCTCTTGTCATGCCTTCAGGGTAAAGATCAAGGTTTTCTTGAAAATTTTTATCTTTCTCATATATTTCATTGGCTAGTCTCCACCTATTGTCTTTCCATTTCTTACCCATGTTGCCCATACAATAATGGTAGTGGTCATCATTATCCATAACGAATCTCTTCTGCAAGAGAAAAGTGAGCTAAAAATTGTAAATATTAATATAATTACAACAGGAACCTATTTGAAAATAAAAAAAGCATTCTGACCTTAATAGTGCTGACCCAAACATCGTCCTTGTAGATCTTAGGTACGTCAGGCCACCTTGCATAACTTATAGGGAATATGTTAGGGTTACATGCAATGTGTCCCAAAAAACCACCGAATAGGCCAGCAGCCTCCCCAACAGGTTAATTGTCTTCATTCCATTCAAGAACTACCCTCTTATGAGGAGGAAGTACCAAAAGATCCCGCACACATAATCTCTCCTCATCAGCCATTCCATTATCAGCTATTACATTGTTGTTAATGCAAGTGCCAAAAATGAAAGTTACATATAAGTGAGAATGTTTAATCAAGTATATCATTATATAAGAATGCAATACAGGTAAATCAGACGGAGTTACCTAACACATCAACAACCCAATACTTGTTGCATGTCCTTTGGGAAGGGTTTCGTGGTCTTGGATTTGAGTCCTCAGGTTGACGACCAACTGATTCAGATTGAGATACTGCTGGTGTAGGTTGAGCAGATGAAGATGCACCATGTGTAGGAGCAGATTCAGCAGATTGAGCAGAAGGAACTTGTTGGTGGACCACTATGTGATGTGGCTAACTATTCAGTTCTTCAGTCGAAAGTTGCAAGTTTATGTTCTGTTCTTGTTCATTGCTTATGAGTTCATTAGCATTGGAGGTTGTCGAGTTGGTCCTTTTAGTGAACCTCTTTGTACATGCCATTGTCCTGCTTACATAAGAATGTTTGCAAGCATACATATTTATAGATACAGAACATAAAAATCCCAGGTAATTAGTAACACCAACAAAAAACAACATGACAACTTCTGTTTTAAAATTTAAATCAGTGAAAAACAACATGCTACTTTAACTTGCGCATATTATACCTGCAAATCAGAATGTACTGGGAATTTTAGACATTTTAATTTCATCCAGCATGTACATATTTTGATCTATTTAAAGCATAATGTTTACATATTTTTGCTTGCAAATAACTTTGATAAGTTGTTTATCACAAAAAATGATGTAGTGATGTGAACAAAAAACACCACTTAACCTTAAGCACAATACAATACCAAAAAAAATTGTAATCTGCTCAAGTTATAACTATATTCAGGCAAAGTATTATGATATTTCCATTTCTTCATCCTCGTTTAGATTAGCAAGGACAATTGGATTGTCATCATCCGTGAAAGGTCGTGATAATTGTAAAGGTGTTGTGTCATCGACATCAACCTGATCCAAGTTCTGTGATGGAAATTGGCCAGTCCATGTCATAACGTCTTCACCCATATCATACAAGTCTCGTGGCTTTACATGAACTGGAATGCTCCAACCTTTTTCTTTCTCATCATCAACATAAAACACCATTTGAGCTTCTGAAGCTTTAATATATGGCTCATCATCTTCTTTTTCACCAGTATGTATTAGTTTTGAAAAGTTTACTTGCGTAAATCCCATTTTATCTTTCTTTAGCCCTCTTTGAGTAGTGGTATCAGCCCATTGACATTTAAACAAAGCCACTGTGAATAAACCATTGTAATTAATCTCTATGATGTCAATCAATTTACCATAATAAGGAACCCCCCCCCCCCCCACATATCATTTGGCCATCTTTACTACTTGAGTAGCTTCTAGTGTCAAAAGTCCCATAAACCCCACTATTTTGTGTTTTCAGGTTGTTGTCTCTTTCTAAGGTCCGAAACTTAATGCCATTTACATTATATGCATTAAACCTTCTAGCTTCATAAAATGGACCTTTAGCAAGAGAAAGCATGATAGCTACATCTGATTCCTCAATATTGTTGATATCTACAATAATCTAGACAGACAAATGTATTAATGATAATGTTTAGAATTTTATATAAATTATTACACTAAAGGTGTATCTAATCTTTGCTAGTTAACTCACTCGTTTGGAGAACCAATCTACAAACTCTCTATGAACCCGCTTATCTATCTCTGCTTGACTTCGAGTAGTCCTCCTTAGTTGCCTCTTAACATCTGTCCTAAATTCCCTAAATAAAAACTTCATTTAAATCTTAAAAACCTAATAACTTAAACAATGACAAGAAATTGTTAGTCAAAAACCTAGGTACTTACTGAAGATATTTTTCAACAAGTGGGCAATTGGTAAGCACATGTCTATGTGCTTGTAATCTTTCCATGTTAGTGAGATTGCAAAATGTTGATGCACCAATTGGCTTACCTACTTTGGGGAAAAAAACATCAATGCGCGTTTGAGGCTGTATATCATCATGAGCATCATCAACACGTCTAGGTCGATTCCACCGAGTCTCAATATTGTCCAAGTACCTTGAGCAAAAAGTTAAGATCTCTTGCATAAGGTAACCTTCTGCAATTGAACCTTCTGGTTGTGCCTTATTACGAACATATGATTTTAATTGTCCCAAATACCTCTCAATAGGATACATCCACCGATAGTGAACCGGACCTCCAAGCTTAGCTTCGTCAGCAAGATGAACAATCAAATGAATCATGACGGTGAAAAATGAAGGGGGAAATAACATTTCCATATGGCATAGGGTTAGCACAACTTGACGTTGTATATTATCCAGTTCCGAAACACTCAACACCTTACCACATAGTTGCTTGAAAAATGAGCATAATTCAATCAAGATGCTACATACATTATCAGGCAATGATATTCTCGTAGCCAATGGTAGTAGTTGCTCCATCAATATGTGACAATCATGACTTTTCAACATCCCACTCACTCGCATAGAATCAACATCAATGCACCTAGATATGTTGCTTGCGTAACCATCAGGTACAGAGATATTCCGCAAAGTCTTTAGAAAAGCCTTCTTCCCTTGATTGGTCATTGTATACACTGCTAGAGGATATTTTCCATTGTCATTTGGCCAAAGGTCAGTCCTGCAACCCATTCTTTGTAGATCTCTTCGAGCACTTAAATGATCTTTTGATTTTGAAGAATCATTAAGCAACGTGTAAATGATATTATCGCATACATTCTTCTCAATATGCATCATGTCAAGATTGTGGCGCAATAAATTATGTCTCCAATATGGAAGGTCAAAGAATATGCTCTTCTTTTTCCATTGTTGGGCATTCCCTTGTGCATCACGATCACCAACTCGGTTCCTTTTCCCTCTTCTGCTAACTTCGGGTGGTCGACCAAAGGTAACATTAACATGTTGAAGTTGTTCAAGGATTTCACAGCCAGATAATATCCTTGGAGGATTGCGCAGCTCCTGTTTACCGTTAAATCGAACCTTGTTCAATCTAAACCGATGTCTTTGTTGAAGAAAACGTCGATGGCCCATAAAACACCACTTCTTACTATGATAAAGACGAGTGGGTTCAAAGTCAAAGTTGCATACTGGGCATGCTAACCCAGTATGTGTGTTCCACCCAGATAGATTACCAAGACCAGGAAAATCACTAATTGTCCACATTAAAGCTGCACGTAACTTAAACATGTCCCGTGTCGAGGCATCATAAGCATCTACACCTTCGTTCCACAATTCAAGCAACTCTTTCATCAACGGCTGTAAGTACACATCAATATCATTTCCGGGCATTTTTTTGCCCGGTATAATCGTTGATAGAATAAATGATGTGGACTTCATACACAACCATGGAGGCGTATTGTATGGAATTAGAATAACTGGCCAAACACTGTAACTGGAGCTCATATGCCCGAAAGGATTGAAACCATCCGTAGCCAAACCAAGTCGAACATTGCGTGGGTCCGCAACAAAGGTTGTGTGTAATGAATTAAAATGCTTCCAAGCTTCTGAATCTCTGGGATGCCTCATGGAACCATCATTGTGACCATTTGTAGCATGCCATTTCATGTCTTCAGCGGTCTTTGTAGACAAGAACAATCTTTGCAAGCGTGGTTTAAGTGGAAAATAACGTACAACTTTGGCAGCCACTTTACGCGTGCTATTTCCATGTTGTGGTTCACCTCCTTTGGCACAAGGTTTCCATCTAGATAAAGAACAAACCTTGCAAAATTGCATGTCTACATTTTCCTCACCCCAATACAACATACAGTTTCTTGGACAAGCATGTATCTTCTGGTAATCCAATCCCAACTTCGTAATAGTTTTCTTTGCCTCATAAAATGAAGAAGGAATCTTTGCATGGTCAAATGCATCGTGTATTAGCTCCAATATTAAAGACATCGCCTTGTCACTTATCTTGCACAAACACTTGATATGATATAACTTCACAATAAAAGAAAGCTTTGAATATTTCTTACTCCCTTCATACAACGGTTGTTCTCCATCTTTGACTAGTTCGTAAAATTCTTTGCCTCCATAATTTTCTTCATGTCCATCATTTGTCGTGTCTCCACTGTTTTGCTGCCCATCCACCCCAAAAGCATCATTTACCATGTTGCGTATTGGATCCTCATGGATTACGTTGTCTTCCACTCCATGTGATACATTTGCATCACTGGAATTACTGCTTTCTCCAATACGTGACTCTCCATGAAAAACCCAAAAAGTGTAACCTTCAGGAAATTTGGAGCATAATAAGTGGTCATTCACTATTTCCTTTGGCTGCCACTTTCTAAAACCACAACGTGAACAAGGGCATAATATCAAACCCTCAGCAGAGCTGTGTGTGACCGCAAAATCAATAAAACCTTCAACGCCTTGTTGATATTCAACAGTATTTCGTGGTTGTGCAATCCATGATTTGTCCATCGACACTGAAAAAACCATATTTTTGTGTCAAATGACCCTGTTTAAAAGCAGGGTATTACGTATATGAAAACCATATAGTTTAGGTTCTGTACTCAGGGTGTGGGTTTTGGTCTAACGAATACCGAATATGGTCTTACTGTTACAGAAAGAGAAAATAAATTAAGCTAACCTAATGCACCATTATGATGCTAACCTAATGCAACCTTATGCTGCATTAGAAATAATTACTTGTCCAACACACAGGAAAAATAAAATCAAAATTCAAACACTGTTATAATTACATCATTGATGTACCACATACCGATATTTTACTCATCATTTACACAATTATGCCAAACATGGAAGGAAACTTTTAATAATTTACAACAAATACAAGACATACCACACAAATCTTTATCTTCCTGTGGTTGACTGAAGAAGATACTTCACAAGATCGGTTGAGAACTGCAACAAAATGAATGAGCCTTCCACTGAATTATTAATCTGAAGATGTAAATACAATAATTATAAAGTCACATTACAGCATGGGTTACTGAACAAAACATTCATGTGAACAAAATGGAAAAAGCACTCAACAAAATGGCTAGGAAACATTTTGAAAAAATGATCTATTTATAAAATTTATCGTTACCTTACTTATGGCCATGGAACAATCCCATTAAAAAGTAAGGAATGAGTTTAGGATTTGAAACAATTCCATAAAAAGTAAGTGTGTAAATAGGTTGGATTAAATTAAATTTTAACTTAAATAAGTCATGCCATGTAGAACATTTTGACTCTGATGTAACCAATTAAATAAGTCATGCCATGTAGAACATTTTAACTTAAAAAGTCTGATCCTTCTGACTAATTAACTAGTACATATATTTAAGAGACACTTTGGTAATAGTGAGCAGCAAGTAATGATGAGAGTTTGCTAAAAGAAAGTAGAAAAACAATATCAATATTGAATGAACGAAGCTGGACGCTGAATCCAGAATTCAATTTGGTCAGATAAAGACAGTGGCCATGGTCAAAGACCATAAATGTCAGTAATAAAAAGATTCTCGAAAAATTAACGGTTGACTCTTTATGGGCTAAAATCGAATCAGTAGCCATAGGTATCTGAAACCCATGGCTAAAATCGAATTGAGTTGTTTTAAGTCCAACTTTTCAGCAAAAGAAGCTTCTACTGGTAGTTTTGGTCTAATTGAACTGGTTGGACACTTAGACCAACATCTGCAATGTTAGACTTGTCTGAATTATTATCCTCACGTGTGTTTTCCTTGATTCGTTTATTCATTTTTTTTGTTTCTCCTACTAGTTCGTCAAATAGAAACTAACATTTTACTTGCTCAAAAAGTCACTCTTATTTGCATATTCAAATTAATTTAAACCTTTGGGATAGTCAGACTTTAAAAAAGCCCATTATTGACTGGGGAGGTTTTCTTTAACCCGGCCAGTTGAATTCTGTTCCAACACTGTTGGATTCTGTTCCAATCCTAATTACTTCTTTGAGACGAGTAGATTCCAAATATTTTAATAAATTTCAACTCTTTAAGACAGCTATGAGGTTATTTCTCAGAACTTAGTCAAGTAGTAACTAATTTAAAGCATACCTAAATACAATCAAAATTTGCATAAATTATAATTTACAGAGAAAACTCAGGGACACCAAAATCACTGCCAGACACACCCAGATTTCTCTTTATCAGCTCTTACAATCATGACCATCAACTTCTCATTTTCCCACACAACACCCACACCAACAAGAACAACCACAGCCACTGAATTAGGATAATGGGGTCCATGCTTTATTCTTATACAGTAAATTGAACTACTATTCCTACTAGCAAACCACTGAATCATATTATTTGATAATTTTTTAGTCTTTCTAGAATGCAACAAAAACAAAAAATTCAACTACTATGTTCTGAAAAAAGATAACAATAAATAACCCAATAAATAATAAAGAAAAAAGAAAGTAGAAAAAATTACACAAAAAAAAATGAGAGACAAAATAGGAGAGCAAACAAAAAAAACTTCAAAACCTTACACGAAAAAAAAAATACCAAAGCCACATTTTGAGAGTAAATGATAATGAGAGACAAAATAGTAAATTTTACCTGGAAAACCCTAATGAGAGACGGAGAAGAAGAGACGATACCTTCGAACACTTCGCCCAGATGGGTTGAATAGCAGATTAGGGCAAACGGTGAAAGAGACACTGTGAATGAGAGGTGCAAACCACATTTTGAGAGCAAATGAAAACGATAATGAGAGACAGAATAAGAGAGACGGAGAAGAAGAGATGATACCTTCGAACAGTTCGCCCAAATTGGTTGAATAACAGATTAGGGCAAACGGTGAAAGAGACACTGTGAATGAGAGGTTAGGGCTTTGGGGGAAATTTGGGAGAGATTAAGAAATTGGATTCTTAATCTCCAAAAGGTAAAAAGCCAAATTTGGACACATTTGGAGTCTAGGGTTGCAGTCAGAATAAAAATCGCTAAGTGTGGAGACAATTGCGTATAAGTTATTCTGAGAGGAGTGTCTTTCACATAGGAGGGAAATGTTCCAAGTTGGTAAGAGGGAACAAAAATTTCACTTACGAGGGAAATAGTCCGCTGAACCAAAATTTTAGTCACATATTGTACTATTATTTACACTATATATAAGTACATAATTAAAAAAATGTTTTATTAATAAATAAAACATATATATTAATATTAAATATATATTATTTTTTATACTTAATTTATATTTTTGTTTTCATCATTATTAATCTCATGTGAATTTATAGTAAATTTAGTAGTGATATTATACATTTTATTTTTTATAACCTTAACACGCAAATTTTAGTTTTACTTTGTTGTTTTCATATAATGTATATTTTTAAATTTTATGACAACCGACAAATATTTTTTCATATTACACATTTTAGTTGTCATTTTTATTCTTTAATTAAAATCTGCAAATATTCCTCACCAAAAAAAAAAAAAAATTAAACCGGCAAATATCTTTTTCAAACTATTGGCTTTATATACTATAATTTTTGTATAATATCAAAAGTATATTTATTTATTATTATAATCTTTCAAAAATTAATATTCAATTATTTAAGATCTACACACTAATAATCAATTTCAGTAAAAATGAATATACAACATTATATATTAACAAAAATTTACACTCGAAAGCTATATTTATTGTAATAAATTGGTATTAAATTTATTGTATAGTTTTTTTTCTATTATATAAACAGTGTACATAGTATTCACATCAGTTTACACAAGTATATCAACTAGTTAACTCGATCTTATACAATAGTTAAATATACGTTTATATAAGTAAGAATATTTATGAGTATATTAATATACATATATACGTACTTATATCATTATACTACTTTGTGTCTTTAACTTAAAATGATACAATTTTAAATCTTTTTAAAAGGATAAAACAAATTGCCACTGTATATTATATATATCAACACTGAAAGGTCTTCACCAACCGTGTCAATTGAACGTTAAAAGCTTCATAGTTGATAGTGAAACTTACATTCGTAACTATAGGGTTTAGATACAATTTACTTATACTATCTATGATTTTTGTATACTAACATGTAATGGTCGTGAATCAGTCATTCACTCGTTCAATCGCTCGGTTTCCCCCACTGGCAGCTTTGAAACGCGTCTAGCACTCATTGCGTCACACAATTAAACTGAACGAAAAAGAGCCAAAATCAGAAACATACATGTTAAGGTTAGGGTTAGGGTTAGGGTTACATTTAGGATCAGGGTCAAGTTCAGGGTTAGGGTTAGGGTTACGGTCAGAGTCAGGGTTAGGGTTAGGGTATGACATACAAATTGATAAAATTATTCGGTCATGATCAAATTATTCCGGGCAATCTTCATGTTTATCAACATCGAAGCTAAAGTTCTGTGACTGTGGAGAAGCGGCTGTGTTGCGTATGTCTCGAAGACCAAAGAATCCACGAAGGATGTTCTATGGATGCCCTAACTACAAAACAAGTGACACCTATTAGATTATCAGTTTTTTTCTCCTTCGCCAAACAGATTATCAATTTTAAATTCAATGTATTTCTATTATTGTCAATTTTTCCTTCTCTCCAATCTCACATTCTCTCTTTTAAATCCATAGAAACGGAAAATCTACAACTGAATAACGTTGATCGTAAGACTCTAAATGGTATTAATTTTCATTTAATGAATACAAAGAACCAGGAAGTTATTCAAAATATCAAGAATCTCAAAATTCATACATCCGCCTCTGTTTACTGAAACCGCCTACATAAACCGCCTCCGAACATCATTTTTGGGCGGTTAAATAATAACCGCCTTTGTTTAACAAGAATTCGACGACTATTTCCCAGATCCGACGTCTAAACCGCCTGCGTTTGCTCAAATTTTAGGGCGGTCAAACCCAAACGCCAGACATTCCGCCTCCAAATATATTCAAACAAAGGCGGTTACGATATAAAGCCACGAATTCTGACGGTGTGTGATACCAAAAGTCGTCGGCCTTGTTAACTGCCTGGTTACCCGCCTGAATTGTATCTTCTGAGGCGGTTTAGTGGTAACCGCCTAAAATAATCCGACGGCAAAAGCCACTTTTCTTGTAGTGTTATCACACCCCCAAACTTACATTGTTGCCTGTCCCCAAGGAACAAATTCACTTCTAACCAACAAAACAATAAGCATGATTTATGTATCAACTTTTATCCTCACATGTAACCTCATTTCAAATCAAACAGATTTTTCAAGATAAGTTCTATGACTAGCGCATGACACAATTTCACAGACTTTGTACATGAAAACAACAGCTATGGAATCAACCAATCATGCAGCTTGATTAAACATTCAATTCATCACAAATCACTCAACAAACATTGTGCAAATCTATATTCAAGAATGTACTCAATGGTTAATGGACCAACAATCAGGGAAGATCATGATTTCACTTCTTAACAGCAGAGAATAAAATCATCACAATAAGTA